AAAAGTAATTAACTAAGCTGAACAGTTCACTGTAAATATTACTCACTTTTTGATGTAATGACAGTATAAGTGAGCGATGAAATGCTGTGTCATTGAATTAGCAAGAGCGGTTTTAGAAATAAGATCATGTCAATTGTCAGCCAAGATGTCGGGGCGCAAAACCCAGAGCTTTAAAACCTCCAGGCGTCTTGTGGTCGATCTCCAAAAGGAAACAAATATTACTTTTTCCCGCGTGAAACCACAAGGCATGTTTCGGCGCCTGATTGATTGAACTTTCTTTGCAGCCATGAAAAGAAATCACGCCGCTCCTGCTGGACTGTGCGCCAGCTCGCATCAATCACGGGCCGGGCGATGGCTCGAGCGGCTGACGTTCAGACAGGAAGGCTGCCACTTTGCCTGCAGACATGCGTCCCACAACGAACACAGAACAGTGAAGGAAGCGATACCTGACATTCTGCCGAGATGTTCTGAGACGACATATTTGATCCAAAAGTTTTTTTTTTTTAAAGACTTTTGAAGTAGGGTTCTCTGTTGCCTCGCTTTATTCCTGCTTTCAGAGTGTCCCTCGTTTCTACCTGTGTTCTACATGTACCGTAAATCCTGTGACTCACACACACCCGTCTATAATACGCCCACCCAAAATCACCCTTTAAAAACATTTTTATTTACTCATTTTAACGCAGAATACATTAAGTACAGTATGTCTGATCATCAAGAACAGTGTTAAAGGTCAAACTGCATCAGGTTGCCGTAGCTTTTTTTTTAGAATCATCTTTATTCCCCAAGCATGTAAACATACAAGGAATTTGTCTCCGGTAGTATGAGCCATCGTAGTATTGCATCAACAAGCAACAAATAACAAGAGAACACGGAAACATTCTGTTTAGCAAGAAAGCATCTGCCTTGTTTCTGAAGAACACTTGGGCCTACTATGCTACTGTAATGGTGGCTCTATACAGTATCTGCTGACTGCTGGGTATGAGAGCCAGTGTCTGACAAAAAAATAATAACAACACCACAAAATGCCATAAAGAAAAAATGTTTTGTCTGTTGGTTATTTACCGGACAAGGCAGTTAAACAGCGACGCAAGTGAACTTTTGTGTTTTTTCCAATCATGGAAATTGGTGGAGGCTGAGGAATGGTGGCTGACGTTTGTTCGGAGACATCTTGGAGCGAAGCACTTTTCATCCTGTTCATGTTGGACAGCTTGAAAGCTTCGCATCGGCCTGACATTAAGGTGATATTTCTTCTCATCCGCTCTCTGTTTGTTAAAAGATTAAAAGATTTGTGTTTCAAATAAGCCAAGAATATCCTTGATGTGTAGATTTCTTTGTTATATTTCTATGAATACAGACCGTAGAGGAGTTGAATTAATTAAAGTATACTGTTCTTTTTTTTTTTTTTTTAATCTGTCATCTTTTTAATATTCTTTACATGCCGTTTGTACATTATGGCTCATATTGCCATCCAGTTCCATAAATCAAAGTGTCCGTAGATCAGCCTTTTAAAAATGTTGCTATTTACTGTCTTTGTAATAGTTTTTTTTTTTTTTTTTAATCTGTCATCTTTTTAATATTCTTTACATGCCGTTTGTACATTATGGCTCATATTGCCATCCAGTTCCATAAATCAAAGTGTCCGTAGATCAGCCTTTTAAAAATGTTGCTATTTACTGTCTTTGTAATAGTTTTTTTTTTTTTTTTTAATCTGTCATCTTTTTAATATTCTTTACATGCCGTTTTTACATTATGGCTCATATTGCCATCCAGTTCCATAAATCAAAGTGTCCGTAGATCAGTCTTTTAAAAATGTTGCTTTATGCATTCTCCATTAGCGAGGTGTCAGCACGCTTTGGCGCCACTATAGATCGTCACGTCAAAACATCCCAGCAAGCTGTCACCCGGACTCCCTCCACGGGCCTCGCCTCCGTGAAGGCTCTCACACATTGTTCTGCTCAGTTGATTTGCTGCCACTCTCATTATTAGCAATACAGGTTCCCATTTGGAAAATGGCACCACTTCGGTGGGATTACCTTGTTTGTAATTCTCGTTCAGGGGCTAATTCTTGCAGGGGAACAATAATCTTCTTACGGTGATATTCTCCTTTTTTTTTGTCTCCAACTGGCCGCTTGTATTTTATTTTTTTTTATTCATTTACATTTAGAAAAACATGCTCTGCTTTTTTGTTAGTCTTGGACAGAATTATCAAAACAGAGTTGTTTACATGCCAATCAAAATGTGACGGCTGTTGGCTTGGCAAAGTGACTCATGGCACACCAGATGTGAGAGATTTCATTGGTGACGAGCCCATATGCAAGTTTTTGTTTTCTGATCAAAGAGAAAGAGAAACCTTCAATGGCCAGGCAGAAGAAAATAACATATTTCCTCACGATTTGGACTGTTTAACATGAAAAAGTCAAGTTAAGTATGATAGTAGAGGACCCAAAAAGCAGTGAGGCAGGAGGAGCGGGTTGGACTGAATAAAATGGATGAACAAAAAATACTTGCAGGAGTACACTGGAAAAGCTAACTCAAACACACAAACAAAGTCATGAAAACCACAAGAAACAAACTAACTAACCAACCAACCAAACAAACAAACAAACAAAAACCCCTATGACAGATATAAAACATGACAGGAACACAAAGAGCCAACAAAGACTGACAGAACCCGGCGAACTAAATACAAAGATGAACAAAAAATACTTGCAGGAGTACACTGGAAAGGCTAACTCAAATACACGAACAAAGTCATGAAAACCACAAGAAACCAACCAACCAACCAACCAACCAACCGACCAAAAACCCCTATGACAGAAACAAAACATGACAGGAACACAAGGAGCCGACAAAGACTGACAGAACCCAGCGAACTAAATACAAACAAAGTGACGAGACAACGAGAAACACCTGGACAAGACACAAAGGCTTGAGGCAGCTGATTGGTTCAACACAAGGGAACCGCGTGACGAGAACAGGTGGAGACAAAAAAGCCACATGAGGGAACAAAACCATATGTCATCGAAACAAAAATTATAACAGAATAGATAATACTTTTTTCCTTTTATTTATATACTGTATATTATTTTTTTGTGGAACAGATTGCCCTGTTGGTTTCCATGTCGATCTTGTAGTTCTAACGTTTGGTGTTTGATTCTCGACTTCGGCCTTCCTTTAAGTGGTAGAATCTTTTGAACCAAAGTATTTGTATTTGCTGGCATATGTACCGTAATTTCTGGACTATAGACCGCACCTGATTATAAGCCGCACTACTACATTTTTAAAGGAAAAAAATATTTTGTACACACATAAGCCGCACCTGTGTATAAGCCGCAGGTGCCCATATTGTAACATGTGATATTTACAAAGAAAGACGGTACACAGGCGTCCGTTAGAAAAGTCTTTCTATAAGCCGCTTCATGAAATAAGCCGCAGAGTTGAAAGCGTGTGACAAAAGTCGCGGCTTATAGTCCGGAAATTACGGTGTATTTAGTATTTCTACTACGACTTGTGCTCAAGCGAGGGTGGGGGCGTCCCATCCCTGTGCGTTGAGCTGACCACGTGCACCAGATTTTTCCAGAGCTGGCCATCTTGTGCCAGCTGCTCCGCGTCCTCCACGGCAACTCCGTGTCGTTGGAGGTCGCCCTCAACGACGTTGAGCCATCGGGTGCAAGGCTTTCCTCGTGGTCGTCTCCAGCCTGCGCTTTTTCTTTTTCAAGTTTGGTCAGCCGCAGAGCAGTTGTTTCACTCAGCATTTAAAAGATGAGGGAGCTGACATTTGCATGCCATTGATTGATGAAACTAATAAGTCTGCGTAAGACCTTGTCATAAAGCACATGCTGCACGTTTACACGGGTAGCAATCTACGGTAGCTCGGAGCTAGGCCACTGAATTCATGTGTCATCTGCTCTGGTTTTAATAAGTTGTAAAAGTCTTGATCATCGCCGTTAGCGCCAACAAGGAGGAGGGGGTTTTAATTATTAATTATCACTCTAAACCAGTTATTCATCCTCTTCAGCTTTTCTTTTGAAACAAAAAAATAAATGCTTTCCTTTGTTCCAAAGCGCGGATGATTAAATGCCTCCTTGTGTTCGCTCCACCGAAAATGCTGAATTGGAACAATGGTCGTGCTAAATGTGGAACTGTGATTTTATTCTTTGCTTTTAGAATGATCAATTCTTTACAAAAGTGTTTGTGACACACATGCAAGCCGGCTCATGTTTGTTCACTTGAACGCACCTGAAATATTGATCTGATTTTTGTCGAATTAGACTTTTTTCGCTCTACATGGAAACACGCTTCACAATGAACTTAAAATACACAAAAAAAATTTAGGACGTGATTGGCATTCACGGTTAAACTTAATTTGAGTTGAACTTTTGAATGCACACGTCCGGCTGTTCAATTTTTCTGTACTTGTTGTTGTGCTCCGACAAGAAGCCGGACCTTAGAATTCATAACCGCCGTTTGATCCACGAATGTACCAAAACATTTCCTCTTTCAGTTAGAATTGATATGAACGGCCTTCTTCAAAATGCTGTTCACATATTGACATCAAGTTGGCACCTAACAATTGATAGAAAAACAAATGTGCATACATTACGAGGCTTTACACACAAGAAGTGGCCACTGGAGCTTTCTGTAGTGTGTCACAGAGTTATCAGTAAGATGCCACAGAGATACGGAGCTACTGGAAGAGTCACAGAAAGGTTTAAAATTGGAGATCCTTGGAAATTCTGGGTCAGTCACCGGTTTCTTCATTTTTTGAGAAAAGCAAGTTGTGCAAAAAGTAGGCTCCAGATATGCTCAACAGGTGGGCATTCAAATGTTTACCGATGATCAAATGAAGTTGACTTGCAAGGTTTATAATGTATTTCAGGTTCTTCCTGAAGTGTGTGAGTCGTAATATTTGTTCCAAGAGGGTTTTTTTTTAATTTGTGTTTAACAACTGCACCAAATTCTGACCATGTTTATTTTTTTTTCCCCCTTTTTGCACGTAGGGCCTTGCCACCCAAACCCTTGCCACAACAGAGGGGCATGCGAGATCAGTGAGACCTACAGGGGGGACACCTTCATTGGATATGTCTGCAGTTGTCCTCCTGGCTTCAGTGGGGTTCACTGCCAACACAGTAAGTTGCACCCCAACTTTTTGTGGTGAATGAAACATACCGAGTAACCTTTAACCTTAGCCAAAAAAAAAAAAAAAAAAAAGCTTTCATCAATACTTTACATATTAAAATACATTATGCCTCATCTGTGATATGATGCTTAGTGTTTCTGAACGTACTCACCGCAGGCGTTCTCTCAACATGTCAATTAGCAAGCGCCCGCTGACTCCGACCCCGACCCGTTACACTAATGATGCTGTTCCTCGAACAACACTGATATCAGATGAGTTGTTTGCTTACATGTAATCTCGTTTATTTATGAAAAGGCATAACACAAGGGAAATGGAAAAAGTCAGCGTATCGGTATCACATTATAATATTTGTCTCCAGCCAAAAGCAGTGCGGCGCTGGCAAGCCTTCTCATCATAATTCAGTTATTGTTTCCTTTTAAGCCCTCAGGGTTGTGGGAAGCTGATTTGAAATGGGCTGAATGCACTAATGTCTGCCAATTTTCCTCACAGTCATTACGGTTCAGTGCGAGAAAATGAGTGAGCGAGAGAATGGGAGATTGACAATTCTTCATCTGGAGAGACAAACAATCGTATTAAACGATAAACAGACATAAATAATTGCTGCTATAGAATGGCAGACATGCCGGGGAAAATTATCATCTCCCACACCTTGAACTGCAGGCTGACAACAAGCAAGAAAGATACGATGATTGGATTCAGGTTTTCGAATTAGAATTTTAATACATCGGGGTTTTTTTTTAGAAATAAAGATTGCTCAAAATGTTCAATCAATTCAAAAGGGAATTCATCTATTCCAGTGTCCATTATAAACTTGAATCAAGTGTATGGCATTTTTTTTAAAGAATATTTTGTCATTCTTGATAACATACGTGTCCGCAGTCTTCATGCAACAGACCAAGTTTAATCACTCCGTAAAACTGAATGACAGGAGTGTCATAACTTACCTTTACGAATGCCTCAAGTGTAAAACTTAACAGTAAAATAAAAAAAATAAAAAATTCTAACTTTTAAATACTAATGTGTGTGATTGGATGCGGAGCCAGTGAAATGAGAAAGAAATACAAGAAACGCTACTTGGATTTCTTCTTTGGCGACAAGAAGTGTTCATTTTCACAACAGAGGGGTCATTGATCAACCACTGCTTGTCTCGGTTTCAGTTTTTACGCGACCGTATATTGTCTTGAAGACAGTTTTACGGATTTTTCACGCCGTACCGGTCTCACTTTTTTATGAAATATAGACACACTTCAGGCTAAACCACCACCGGTTGATTTCAGCGAGGCGTCCATTGTTGCTAAAATGTGATTGCTGCTTAGCTATAATTGCAAAGAGGCTTCTTTTAATAAGGTTACATGTTCAGGCAATGAAGACTACTGAGGAGCACAGTCGTAGTTCAACATTAAACCAAAGACAAATCCGGAGTTTTAAAAGCGGTTTTGTAGGCTACCCGAGTTCTAACACACTATCGTGTCTGGCTTTTACCACATTTGCTTTACTGCTCTGTCAGAGCCAAATCCAATTTCACACCTTTGAACATTATCCTTAATACGTGCATTACACATCCCGCTTGTTAGAGCTACTTTGTGAAGCCCGGCTATAAATGTGTCACACGTGGACGAGAAAAATAACTACAAGTCGTCTTGCGTTTTCTAAATGGACTGTACTGTCAAGGCTCAAAATAACTTATTGGAAGAGCATTTTTTTTTCCAATCACTGACTTCACTTGAGGTGCAATCCAGCCATTCTGAAGAGCATTCAGGTGACCTGAAGCAAGGGTTTAATTCAACAATAAAAATTTAACAATATAAAGAGGGAGTTGTAAGGATGCAGCAACTGAATATTTTACCAAGTATTTGAGTATCCTCCTGACAATTACATCGAATCATCAAATATTTACATAAAATGCATGATTGCTTGATTAAAGAGCAATTATTAATACAAATGAGGAAAAAAATGTACTTAAATACTGTCATTTTACATATACGGTACTGTAACTTGTCACCATGGTAATAAACAAGACACAAGTTTGCCGGCAGTCGCAACTAACAAAGACCTAGTTCTCCGCAGGGCTAATGTTATAGCGCTGTCATCTAGTGGGCTAATGTTATATTTGTCAGGTGCATTATGAATCTCACTGATTTGCGTAACATTCATATTTACAGTGCTTCAGGTCATACACGGCTTCACACTGGCGGAGAGCAAGGTCTGTGTTACAACAATTACACGCCACGGTTGTCACCTTGCGTTGGAATCTGGCTTGCTCCCACACTTATGCCATCTTCCCGCGCCGTCATCCGACTCGCTTAGCTTCCACCTGGACATGTGTTGTGCCCACTCGCAATTTTGCTTTTCCCCCCCGAGTCAATGGGAAGTGCAAAATGCTCATTTTTACTGGCAAACCGCAATGCGAAACGTCTTATTTTGACCCTTGCAGCTACGTATTTTAGCTTACTTGTCATGTCTTTATATGTCTTTGGCAGCTAACGGCTGACATTATACTCTGAAGGTAATGACAGTTCAAAGTCTCTGCAGACTTGTTTCACATCAGAAAGGTTTATGACATTCAATTTACTCAACACTTCCAATACGTTTCCAGCAAGAAAAAAATATGACTTACACCACCAGACAGCCCATTAGCTAATGTTGTGTATTAGCATTAAATGAGTGTTTCCAAGCTCACAGCTATTGGCTTTCCCAATTGAAGGTTGGCTCTAGTGTGACTGATGTCATTTTTTGAGCCTTTATTCTCACCATCGATCATCTTTTGTAATAGTGCGTGTCATGAACCACCGTGACAACAGAGCTCGCGCACTGTTATCGGGAAAGGAGTCAAACATCGTAATGAACTGTCACGGCGTAAAGATAGAAAGTGATTGCTTTGCTCGTCATGAGGTGCCAAAGTATTTTTAGGGGCGCATGCGCTAAGTTTATCAAGGACAAATGAAGCATAGAATTATAGAGATTTGTCCACCGGCAAATGTGTGTTTTTTTTTTTTCCTTTTCTCACCACAAACCGTAAGTCGCGCCGAACATGGCAGTGGCCTGTTGAACAAAAGAAATGAACGGTGCAACCTGAATTGCTGATGGTTGTCTTTTTGATGGCGGTTGCTGACGACGGACTTTTTGCCATTCCTCTTGGAACGCGGCAGTCGGGCGGAACTGATAAGGACTAAATGTAGGAAACGTGAATAAGACAGACAGCGTATTTTGTTCATCGACAGTCGTTATCTCGGCTCCTGCCACAGGACAATCGGTCCGACTTAAATCTGCTGTGCGCCATGACTTTTAATCAATTCCCTTGCCACAGATCACAGGCTACCTTTCATCAGTCTGTGCTGATGCACCTGTAGTTTTTCCCTTCATGTTCATTTATATCCGCGATAACCTTCGCCGCGCTGCTGACATCTACTTGAATTTTAAGTCGGCTAAAAAAAAACAGTCAAATGAACTTTTCCGTTCCCATCGCGCATTGTAAGATAGTCATAATGACAACCGTGTTAACGCTGCATTTCACACTTGTGGCACGGTGAAAATAGTTCATACCAATTTCTATGCAGAGAAGGTTGTGTCACTCTTAATCCGAGTGCAAGTCCACGAGAATCTCACGTTATTGCCAATTCGGACAGCTTTTGTCCATGTTCATCAATGACAAGCTACAGATTTGATTTCATTACATGTACCAAGGCTACTTCATAAACCACGATCGTAAATGTTGTCATCGACATGCATTTGCAGAGTGGTCAGCTGATCTTGATCCCCTTTTCCGGATCCTTTTTGCATCAAGAAGTTGGTGTACAATACTTTCATACTTATAATGTTTTGTATCAGTTGTTCAGTCAATATAAACAGTGAATTGGGATACCGGATACGATCTGGGCAGTGGTATAAATCTCATCATTCTTGCATCTAGCCTGCTATTACATCAGTGTCTTGTCCAGGGAAACCAAGACAACGTGATTTATTTCAACTGCAATTAATGGAGAAACACCATTTGCAGATCTGTGATGGAGCGACTCCCCAAGCAGTGGGGCGCAGTCCCTCTTGTACCATTTTTTTTCCTTCTTGGGAGGGGTTAAAGTCTGATGCACAACCTTGACGACCAGCAACGAACTCGCATAGCAACACTTCCAGATAGCAGGATGTGTGATACAAGATTACAGTTAATTATAAGATACAAGTTAACAATGTTAAATGTCAAATTTCTACGACATCAGCAGATGCATAGGTTTTGGAAATGTGAACTTTTCAAACCAGAACCACAAACAAGGATAACATAAATTCTCACACATATTCCTTTAGCTGCGTTTCCTTCATGAAATCGAATGTTGACTCATCGTAGTAATTCGACGAAATATTCTATAATGTGCCAGTGTGTCCACCAAATCTCTTTGCTATTCATCCAAGCTGCTCAAAGCCATCATTTATTTAAGCAGTAAAGCTGAACTCATTTTGAGGGAAGATTTTAACCTCACCCTTCAAAAATGATGCTGCGGGCGCAGGCTTAGCTCAATTGATTAAGATGTACAGCTGAAAAAGTTGGCGGAAATGTTTGCTCAAGGAAAAAAAAGTTGCGATGTAAACAGGCTGAAGAAATACTTGTCCCGAAAAAGTTTCAGTCAGGGTGCCTTGGGTATGTTCTTGTTTTTTTTTTTTTTTTTTTAAATCTGACTTTGGGTCACAAAAGTTGTGAAGGATAATGGATATTATGGTAATCTGCTCACCAGTTTTGTTCTGCCTGTGCTTTGGTGACAGCTCTGGCTGGAGGCATTAGGGTCTCTGTCTTTCTCAAAGCAAATCCAGTAATGTAAATTTATCTCCAAGTTTGTGGTGAATATTATTTTTTTATGCTGCTGATTCTGTGCTCTTAGTTTATAGAAGCCCTGAGCGCAACAGTGACTACAAAAACGCTGATTACCTCATTGTCTTTTTTTATTTTAACATTGATGTTACCGTTTGGTTTGTTGTTGTTTTTTTAAAATCACGTAATAT